GAGTACTCTGATAGACGATTCTCATGCCATCCCACTTTCAGGTTTTTCGCCCTCAACTCCATGATGCGGTGGAACGCTCTGACAAACGGACGGGTGTTCATCAGGAACAACCCCCGGTTCAACGACATGACGGCCGCTGATCTCAGGCGGCGCATCCGGGCGGGCGAGAGGAACATCCTCAAGCAAGCGCTGTACCACGGCAACAAGCTCAAGGGCACCAGGCAGTACTGGCAGTCCCGTTGTGGTGAGTTACTTGACATGGTCAATCAGCTAGGAATACCCACACTGTTTATGACTCTTAGCGCTGCTGATCTGCACTGGTCGGACTTCTTCCGGCTCGTGTCGCCTGGCGAGGACTTCGAGACCATGACGGAGACTCGGCGTCAGCAACTACTGTGCGAAAATCCTCACCTTGCTGACACTTTCTTTGCCGAGAGGACAAAGTTTTTCATAACGAAGGTATTTAAGGCTAAGTACAATGTAAAGGACTACTGGTTTCGCTTTGAGTACCAGCACCGGGGTTCGCCTCACGTTCACGGGATCGTGTACCTAGACGGTGCCCCTGATGTGAGCAACCTGAAGGATGCCTCTCAGGAGCACCTCGACGCCGTTATCAGGTACTTTGACTCCTTGGTTTCGACGATGAACCCAGGTAAGGACTTGCCTCCTGCCGACATTCATCCGTGTAGGAAAAAGTTTAGCGAGGTTACTGACCCTGTTCGCGACCTGGGCGAGCTGTTGAACAGAGTGCAACATCACAGATGTTCAAATCATTACTGCATAAGGGTCGATAGGACTACTGGCCAACCGGTTTGCAGGTTTAAGTTTCCTTTCCAGGAAGAGCCTATCACTAGGCTTTTTGAAAATGAGAAAGGCCTATGGGAACTAATTACCGCTCGAAATGACAGTCTTTTAAATAAGTACATGCAGTGGGTAATTCAGTTGTGGCGAGCCAACATGGATGCTAGCCCTGTACTTTCTATGAAGTTTATGCTCAGGTACATTGCCAAATACACGGCAAAAGGTGAGAAACAGTCTGTGACCTGCCGGGAGCTCGTGGGAGGGTGATTCTCAGAATACGGGCCGTTTAGATTCCGCGGCCCTTCACAACTATGTGATATGGTTTGAAAAGGTTTTTATACCATCTAGATACTCGAAAGCACTAATACTACCTGGTGCAACACTAACAACCTAAGAATACTGCAACAGTAGGTGACTAGAGCAGTTTAAATGGTCAAAATGTGAACTCCAGTACGTTCCTAATGTCTGAGTT